CAATCGCTATGGAGGAAACGCAGACCCAGATCCAGGGTCTCTGCATTCTTGCCAGGAAATGATTTTCAACTACTTTGTTTTAACACCTTCACCCCTGAATTCTCTGTAACCACAGCTCAACTCAGGGGCTAAAATACACCTATTCATGCCTTTGTAAATCTACACGTGTTTATAATTTGGGATTGCTATGTGAAAACACACTTTTCTATTTATCTTCAAGTCAAGCAGCTGGGCCATCTTAATGGATTCTTCTCAACACCAGGCCATTAAGACACACGGGTTCCAGGCATGCAAAACCCTCTTAGATCTCCGTGGCCCCTGCTACTGATGGCTGCTGGATCAAGAGATGGTCAGGGACCTGTCAACCCCCTGACAAAGCACAAACCAATCCAGAAGTCTGTAGGTGCACTTGAGGAATGCTGTCTGCTCTTTTCTGAGTGTAATCAACATGTCACATAAGAGGCTGCATCTCTACCCATCCAAGATGGTCTCTGCCACCTTCATATTTACTGCTTATTTGAAGTCCCTCCTCCCTCCTCAAAAAAGATCTGAGAATTAATGTCTTTTAATCTCTAATGTTTTATATTATAGATTTTCAAGTCTACCAAAAGGTTGCAAGAACAGCACCATGACGACTACACACCCATTATCTAGATCCAAAATTCTGCCACATTTCTCTCCCTCTCTTCCTTCCTCTCTCTCTCCTTCCCTCCCTCCCTCCATCTTTCCATGTGAATGTGTATATAAAATTATACATTATACGCACAGACTTTTTGCTGAACAATTTGAGGATTAGTTGTACATGTTGCAACACTTCATGTCTAAAGACTCCAGCTTACGTAGCTCTTAACATCGAGCATTCCCCTATATCCACCACTAGCTTGGACAAGACAGTTCTCACAGGAAAGAAATTCAATGCTGAGAGAATACTATTATCTAATAAACAAAACACACTCAAGTTTCCCCAATTGTCCCAATAATGCCTATTATTGTTGCTTTTTCTCAACCAAGGATCACACGTGGCATTTGGCTGTCCTATGTCCTCAGCCACCTTTCATCTGCAGCAATTGTAGGGGGTGTCAGGTGTCCTTAATGACACTGACAATGTTAAGGAATGTGGTCCAGCTGTCTTATGGAATGTCCCTCATTTGGACTTGTCTGATTGCTTCCCCAGAATTGGATTTAGGCTAAATATTTTAGCAGACACTCCATCAAGGTGATGCTGTGACTGACTGCTTAGTGCATCACTATGACACCTTACATCACTGCACCCATTGTAGGTATTGGTAAGTTTGAACATGGCCAGTTAACTGCCTAAAGCTACAATGCTTTAATATGAATACCACATCGTTTACACACTTTCATTTCAAGCTGTTAACAGTAGTTATTCAAAAACCTCAATCCCTAAAGCATATTTCAATGCATCTGTCTTTTATGTCTCTAATATATTGTCATTTTCTCATAAACTGGGAGATGCTAACTGTATTCTATAATAAAAGATCACATGGACTATAAACACTAAAGGCTTCACAAAGGAAGTGATTTTTGCATTGGGTCTTGATAAGTAAATAGGATTTTGTTAAGAAGAGCAAGGAGAGAGTATTATATTCATAAAAAGTGTCACGGGAAAAGGCTTTATATGTGAGAGTGAATAACACTTGAGGCACTATGAGTTGACTGTAATAATCCAGGCAAGAGATAAGAAAGGCTTGCTCGAGGCCTTGTCTAGTGGCCAAAGGAAATGCAGGCAAGTAGACAGACTGAAGAAACTTGCCAAATTCTCTGATAGCTCAACTAGGGCAACTGCATGTTTATGAAGCCTTTGCTGACCATGGGTGGGCGGGCGTGGTCATTTAAGTCTAAACTGAATACGCTATGCTTGAGGCACTGGTAGGACATCCAGGTGGAGCTGTCCAATAAGCAGAACAAGAGGCCTGGAGTTCACGAGGAAAAAAACCTGGTGAGAAATGATGCTCTGGGTCAATGTTATGAAGATGGAAAGTCATGAAGACTGACAAGAACATGAGTAGTGAAAGGAAGCAGACAGTAGGTCTGAGGCGTGCTCTGGAAGAATGATAACAGGATGAAGGAGGGCAGAGGAGGGTGGCAGTTCTATTTCTTGCTGAGACACCGCCTCGTGCACTGGTTTTTGGAAATGCTGATCTGAAGGTAATTGGAAGAGAGAGAAAAAGAGTTTGACCAGATTAGTAGATTGAGGAATCATGAGTGAATGGGCAATAAGAAAGTATACTTAATTTTTTTTTAACTGAAAAGAACTCTGTTGTGTGGTTTTTCAACACCACCAAGCAGTTAACTCAAGGCTGACACTATTTACCTCGAGACAGTGTGAGATCACCAAGGTTAAGGGCTCAGCCCATTAAGACTGCCCCCACCTCAGATACCAGAGTCAAGTCCAGGTCGTCAGCTGTGTTTCAGACCAACTGGCTACAAATCAGAGGTTCCCAAGAACCCCTCCTTGAGGTTGATTAATTGGCTAGAGTGGCTTCTGCAACAGAGACACAGTTACTTATGCTTAACTAGTTTATTATAAAGAATATTGTAACGGATACAGAGTGCAGCAGGATGAAAAAGTACACAGGGCAAGGTATGTGGGAAAGAGCTTCCATGCTCTCTGGGTGCACCACTCTCCTGGAATCTCCATGTGTTGTTCACCAACCCAAAAGCTCTCCAAACCATGTCCTTTTGGGGTTTTGTGGAGGCTTCATTATGTAGCATGGTTGATTAAATCATTGGCCATCGGGGATTGGTTCAACCTCCAGCCCCTCCTCTCTCCCCAGAGGTCAGTGGAGTGGGACTGAAAGTTCCAACTCTCTAATCATGAGGTTGGTTCCCCTGGCAACCAGCCCCCATCCTTGGGGCTCTCCAGAAGTTACCTTATTCAGGTATGGCTGAAAGGAGTTTGTTGTAAACAACAAGATACTCCTTCACCCTTTATGCAACTGGAACTATTTCAGAAACTGATGACAAAAGACCAAGCATTATAACAGAAGTTGCTCCCATTGCTCTTAGTGCTTAGGAAATTCCAAGGGTTTTAGGTGCTCTGTGCCAGAAACAAAGATCAAATATGTACTGCTTATCGTAAATCACAATAACAAATCAGTAAAGAAAACATATGTGATATAGGATGGGGGTAAGTGGGGAAGTATTCATTGGAAAAGAGCAAGAAAAAGGAAAAAATGATGGAAAGGACAAAATGGAAAGGAAATTCAAATGAAAAAGGAAGAAGAGGAAGAAAAGTCAAGGATATAAATGGGAGTAAAGTAACAGAGGCCTCTGGTTTTCTTTAATCAAACTGCCTGCCTGCTTCAAAGCAGAGGCAACAGGTGGAGAACAACACTCGACCTGCCATTAGAAACCAATATAAAGACCAATGAATGTGCCTCAAACCCTTAATTTTGCTAAAATTATTTATGACTCACATTTTAAATTAATGTTTCAAAACCCCTTTTCTCCTTAGCTTCTGGCCAAGAGTTGCCTGCTTCTGTTCATGTGGGTTTCCCTGGAGCCTTCCTTGACTTCATGCTACAGGTTTGGTTCCCATAACATTAAATCCTAGACCTCCAAGGTCCGGAGATGCCACAGGCTCGGGGGCCAAACAGATACCTGTCAGCATCATTAAAGACATCGTCTTAACATTTGGAAAAGATGGATTTAACAAAAAGCTCTAAAATAACTAATATATGTACACATTCATATATGTAGTCTATAATATAATACATACATTTTTAATAAAATTATTCAAATCCATTCCTTTCAAATTTAAATACCTATCTATCTATCTATCTATTTACTGACTTAGCTACATGATTCTGACAAATGAAACTGGAAAGTATTTTAATGACTAATCACCAACACACTACTAACCAGGATGGGAAACAAAAACGCATCCACAGAAATAGCAATTCTTACAATTCAAAAAAATCCATTTCATTCAACTTGCTGAAACCATGTACCGACCTAATTACCATGACCCCACAGTTCTCAAATGCAATTTTTTTGTTGTTGTTACATCTAATTTCAATTAATCACCATGACACAGCTAAGAAACTTTTTAACAACAAATCATCAAGGTCTGTGCAGGAGCCTGCCTAAATTCTTGGCATTTTTCTAACCATTTCCTGCAAGACCACGTGCTCAGCAGGCAGTCACCGTGGGACACTCAGGGAGTTGTTACTTGGCCATAGCGCCTTCAGCTCTCTGTGCACACGTGTGTCTGTGCATGTGTATGAGCCCAAGTGCACGCACCATGTTCCTTCTAGAATTAAGATTTGTTTGGTTTTTTTTTTTGATCTTCCACCTTTTTCTTATTACCAAAAGGTAACACCAAAAGGTAAGCAATTAAAATAAGTCACCAAGAATTATGAAACATAGTAATGCAGGGAAAAAAAAAATCCCACATGTGAACATATGAGTTTTAATGGTTTTTCGATGAGTAGGTTCAGAAGAACCATGGCTTTGCTTAAATAACTCCAGACGACATCAGAATCACCTCATGCCCGTCATGTCTTTAGAAAGTCGGTCTACGAATGTGGTATTTAAGTGCAAGTACATTTTTAAGATTGAAAACAGCAATTTATCACGAAAGTGCTGCTGTTAATTGTGAAATTCTCTTTCTCCCTACGTCCTCCCCCCTTCATTCCAGGAGAATGCAGTGAAGAAATGAAATGAGAAAACCATAATTACAATCACATTTCTTCCCTTGGGTCAACCTAATTATCAGCCTCTCACTCCAAAACAAATTTACCTCTTTAAGAATGAACGTCCTTTTCGCTCATGGGAAAAATACAAAGATTAAGATGCCATTTCGGCATAACTGCAATCTTTCATTTTTAAGTGACCTCTGTGTTTAATGGCTTCAATGCATTCTCATTCAAGTAGAATATATACTGCAGGAGAGAACTGTAATAAATGGCACTGTCATGACCCTTAAGTTAGAGCAAAGGAATATTGGAAGATAAATCTCAATTCTAGATACTCACCAATCCTGCAATGGGGGTAGGCAATCTATTGATCTTTTTAACAAGTCCTGGCTTTATAGCATTCAGCAACCTGTCATGAAAAAGGCAGAATGTCAAGTGAGACATAAAGTAAGGCGGATCACACAAATCACCTTTATCCGGGGTGACAACGAAATTGCTGAATAGGAAAAGCAGCAAATTTAAAGTACGTAGTAAATCTCAATAATCTATGAGCCTTCGTGCATCCAAGCTTTGCCAATGTCAAGTTTGTCCGTGGCAGGTGAAGTTTTAGAATTTGGAAATGTTGGGAGAAAAGAAAGGCTGGAGATGGGGAAGGGCTTCGAGGCAAAGGACAAGGATGTGAGCTGGACTGAGGCTGGGGGGAGCTGGCTAGGACTGGAGCCAGATAATGCTACACAGTAAGGCTTGTTCCCAATTCTCCTGGCTAAGGCAGGGGTCTCTCCAGGGAGGCACTCAGTTCAGAGCCCAACATCTATCTTTGCAAATAATTTGCCAAGACTAATTCTACCTCCAAACTCTCTTGCTCTTTGAGGAGAGTGGCTTGTTAAATGTGGTGAGCTTCACTTAAGAAAGGGAAGAATATGTTTAGGAAGAGGTTAACCAATCATATCCTGAGGATTTTAAACAAGGCTGACCACAATTCCCTCGGTATAAAAGATATATGAGCAAAATGTTTTCGGGGTAAAAGGTTGAAATCACGTAAAAATGGTAATACAAAGCAAGGAAATGCGGGAGAAGCAACCGTAACTGTTTGTCTTCAGTGAACGTCAGTTCAGAGTGAAAAGAACTAAGGAAGGCAACTAGCAAAACGGAAACAGGGCTGGCATCAGGGTGATGTGGTAGAATGTAGCACTTGCCAAGTAAGTCATTCATAAAGGAATTACTGAAGGTATGGGGTCTCAGAATGGAAGCACTTATTCTCACATTCGGGAATTAAAGGAGAGGCTGTCAGGTAATTTCTCTCAGGACACAGGGCAAAGAGAAACTCAGAGGGTTAGTAAAATTCAGGGGTCAGCAAACTGTGAGCCATGGGCCATGGGCCAAATTTGGTCCAGTATCTGTTTTTGTAAACAAGTTTTACTGGAACACAGCCCAGCCCATTCATTTATGTACTGTTTACTGCTGCTTTTGTGCAATGACAGCAGAGCTGCGTCATTACAACAGAAAATCTATAGCCTACAGAGCATACAATTTTTACTATCTGGCCCTTTATGCAAAAAGTTTGCCATGCTCTGTTGTATTTCATGCAATCCAATTATAGTGAATTCTGAAGAACCTATGCTTGATGGATTTCTACAAACCAGTAGCAAAAGATTCTTTGAAATAGTTCAATAATTAGTCTTGAATTAAGCTTATACTTGACTTAGACATCACTATGTATTCATTTATTGAAAAACGTCTCTACAGTGGTTATGACAGATAGGACATTCCTGTTTTGCACTAAGAATTGCCTGTTTTTGGTCACTTTCACTGCAATTCCAAATGCTGCCACTAAGAGGTAACACCTAGAGTAGATGGGAAAAAGTAGTGCCTTTTTTGGCAACTGAGAGCCAAGACGGTGCTCCTTCCATGAATCCGCTTAATTTTAACCATGAATTTAATCTTCTTAAAGAGTGCTTTTTTATAGCTTATTTTGGAATTACTGGTTTCTCAAGTTGGAAGGCAACTTGTTCACTCTTCACATCTTATAATGGAGAGAACTGAAGCCTGAGAAAACAGAAGATAGTGATGAGCTGGTCAGTGGTACGGCTGGTCAAGCTCAGCACTCGAGCTCCCTGGATCAGCTCACTCCCCGGGCAGGGTTAACGTCCCATAGCTTGTATTCCAAATAAATAGATAGAGATGATGTCTCCAAAGGAGCCTTTAAATGTACAACATTCTTAAGGTACATTAACTTTTCCACTAGTTTTTAACAGTGTCATTCTAAATTGGACTTATTTAAACAGTATTCGTGCACAGTTGTTGGACAAGGTCATCAAGTGGACATGACTGCCGGTTAACCCAGCCTGGCCCCCAGCAGTTGGAGGCTCCTCACCGGCTCCCCTGTCCTTGGAATGTAGGTTCTGTCCCTTGTTCCCACAGTGGGAGCCATTTTCAGGCACTCAGCCCTGAGATAGTAGTGCGTTATTGAGACCATCTGGACTGAATATGTGCCTGACCCAGTTAAAGCTTCCACATAAACTTTTAAGATTCTGGCGAGATTCTACTCATCTTTCAGCCGCCCAAGACAAGCATCATATGTAAGTTCCCTTGCCCATTAATGCCGCCACCTATAAATCTGGAGCTATCTGCCTCCTTCTCGGGCTCTCCCTGCCTTCTGTGTCTGGGGACCAGGTTTGAGTTTCACCCTGGGAAATCCCAAAGTTGCCAACCAACAACAGTGTTGACAATTCAAAAGGAATCAAAAGGAAATCCAGTGAAATAAGTCTCACTGTCACCTGGGTCCCATGGGGCCCCGACTATAACCTGAAGGTAACCTTGAAGAGTTTCTAAAGAAAATAAACAAAGATATTTATAATTTCTTTAAAGAAAAGACAGGTGTAGCATATAATATGTCCTGTCCTACAACTTATTCTTCCACTTAGCAATGCATCCTGGAGGTTGAATAATTTACCCTGCAGAATGTGTCATATGGAAATGTGTCCTTTTTAATACTGGTGGACAGACTGATGTGGAGTTGGTGTGAGGGGAGGTGGGGGAGCACCGGCTCTGAAGTCCAACTGACTGAATCCAAAGTCCAGCTTGGTCACTCACTGGGGGTGTTACTTTGGGCAAGTCCATTAGCATGAGTTTCCTCAACCCTAACAGAGAAACAATGGCAGCAATTGCATGGGTGTCAATGAGGCTTAAATGTGACAAAATATGTGAGAAGTTAGCAGGGAGCCTGGTGCATAGTAAGTTCTCCATAAATGGTTCTCCATATTTGTGTGTAAGTATTTATTTATACTAATGCAGTTCACAGCATTCCACATCAACACTTTCTCTAATACTTTCAGATTTTTCTAATGAAATAAAATACCATTGTATCAGATCCCAGAGCTTTGTTTCTAATTAGCCAAAGTAGGAAAAATTACAAATACTCTACCAAAAATTTCATAATTTAAAAATCCTTTTTTAAAGTGGTCCCATTTTGTCTTTTATATCTAAGAATTGTATTATTTTTAGTAATGATGGATCCACTAACTCTTCTTTTATACGTGTCTAGACTTTTAAACAATCTTAAATATTTCATTATATTCATCCTTTGTAGAATTATACTTATATGGCAGAAATCTTTCCTGTCACATGAAGATGTAAAAAAAATTACAATGTTAGACCTTAATTACAAGAGCAACCAAAAAAAAAAAACCTGCTAAGATATCTATCAAAATATTTAACCACAAATTAAAAAATAAAAAGCCATAGTTCTCTAAAATACTTGAAATATTTTCAAGATCAAGGCAGCTGTATTTTTTGCGTGTAAACGTTGCCCGAGTTCTGTACACAGTTTACAGTACACAACAATAAAAAAATAACATTGAATTCACATTGTAGAAATGCCCAACATCTGCTTATCTTGTATTTTGCATTAAACTGAGGCCATTTTTTGTATATATTAGAATCAGATGAAAAGTTCAACAATACAGCTATGAGTGTGAGTCAAGGATATTTATTTACTTGCAATTTTACTAAAAATCACTGTTGCCCTCCTATATGTTAATACAATATTTTCAATAAATGCTTATTGATGACATGCTTTAAAGTCATGATGATGATACTTTTATATTTATGAACCTTCTAAGATGTACTGTTCCCCAACTGTCCTGTCCTACAGAGACAAGTCATGTATTCACTCTACCATTTTTATAGAAGAAAAATACGGAGCCCCAAACAGATGTGAAGCTGTCCCCAGAGACATGCACAGCTAGTCCGCAGCCCAGCTGGGACAGCCTTCACGTCTTGGGCCAGTCATTTTATATTGCAACTTGGTGCTTTAGAAAGTTCAACTTCAGTTATGTCATCAAAGCACAACAACAACAAAATCCCCCAAAATAAAAGACAGGAAACAAAGAACAAAAACCCAAAAACTATCTAAATACAATGGGAGAATATCAACACTAGGTGGGAATAAAAGGAAAGTGAAAGCGGGTGTCTCCTGGCAGACAGTCAAGTGTTAGACACGTCGGATCTCAGTTGTGTCTGTGTATGACACACAGCGCCATCAGGAGGCACGCCAGACGAAAGGGGACCAGAATTCACCTGCTGTTGTTGTGGAAAAATGTGTTACAGCTCAGTTTTGACAGCAACCTGGATCCGGGCGAGAGACCAAGCAGCACCGGGAGAGCCGGACAACTCAAGTTTATTAAGCCAGCGGGCACAAAGAGTTAACCCTCCAAGCTCTGGACCCGACTGTAGGTTTACACAGGCCTTTTATAGGCTGCCAGTTTTACATTTTGCAACATCATATGCAAATAAAGTATAACAGAAGTTGACCAACCAGGAACAAGCTTTGTAGAAATAGACCAATCAGGAGTGAGAGTAATAACCAATCAGGAGTGAAGGAAATAACCAATCAGAAATGAGCTCAGGGAACCAATATAATTTTAGGTGTAAGTTAGCTGCTTTTAGAGGCAAAAAGTGAGACAGAGCTTCCCCGCCAGGGAACCGGACGGTGCTGGGAGAGCAGCGGCCCTGTCAAGAGGTCCTGCCGGTCTTTTTATGGGGCTTCCTGCCTCATTGTCACCTCCCTACTCAGTAACAATTTCCCACCTGTGATCTCCGAACCCTAAAACTAGAAGGAGAGAAGTCTGAGAAGTCCACCCTCTCCGTCTGGCAAGGCAGATTATCTCCATACTCATCTAAAGACATTTCTGGAACATTGGCATAATTTTACACAACAAAAAAATTAAACTTTGGTACCATTCCACGTCTTACTGCATTACACAAACAAAAATAAAGATATTAAAAAATATCAAGAGATACGAGAGCTAATTAGGAAGAACTAATATTGAGGTAATATCCAGCAATTATTTATCAGGTGCCTGCTGTGTTTTCACACTGCTCCGGCCCAGGGAAGGCAGTAGTGGACGA